ATTATAGGCAACCTGAAAACCCAGGATCTGCTTGCAGCGGTAGCTGACCATCAGTAGCAGACAGAAACTTTGTACTTTTGCAGAAAAATTGAAAACATTAGAATATACTTTAAATTTTGACCATGTTCTGTTTATCTGGTTTATTTATCCAACCACTGCCTAGAGGTACAAGTGTCATAGACCTGACAACTCCTTTTGCCAAAGGAAAGCAATCTCACCCAGTGACTCTTAAGAATTTCTTTGCCAAGTAGATACAGAAATACTAGATTATATAGCTTTGGCTGTTTTCCTATTAATCATTCCACCTCTCAGGTTACATTTAATTAACACAACAAAAACTCCTAATGCTTTTAATAAGCTGAAGCAACGGAAAATCTTAATATCTATGGCTAGACCCACACACCTTCATGGACAGTTTAAAAGCCTCCTTTAAGTACAAGGAGTGTGTTGAGAATTGACATGGGAAAATATGATTAAAAATACATTTCACTGACAACTGTACAACCAAAAGTATGAAAACTTAAAAGGTTGAGGTGAAACTCTTCCAGGGTTGGTTTTTTTTCAAGTCAGTTGGTGGTGAGGGAAAATGCCATATACTTACCTGTATCTTCTCACATCCATTTTTCCTACAAGAATGCTTCCTCTAGAACTTCAGGCCAGAAAAAGCTGTGGCCTCCTAAGAGTGCCAAACTACCTAGTAGGACAAGCAGAAATCATAAAGAGTGTGGATCAGCAGATGTATAAGCATAAACCCTGCTTAAAATAAAGAATCAAAATTCATATAAAATAATCATAGTAATTTCTACAGAAGCAAAGGCAAAGGAAGCTGTGAGAAAATAACTTGTGCCTTCTGTGTATATTTCAGAACTAGTGTTTGTAATATTCCTAAGACCTGCCAATCGATATTATCTTTACATAGAAAAAATATATTTGTCTCAATATTTCTCAAATGGCAGAGAGTTGCTGGTGGATACAAAGCTGGAATATATTAGAAATGGACTTGATAACACTGAGCTAAAAGTCTTCTGTACAACCACCAGGAAAACCAGTAGAAAAATGTGAAGCTTTTGTGCAATATTCCTGTCACTATCACAAAAATGAAGTGTGATTCAGTTAGACTTATCCCTAATAAAAGGCATCTAAGGATATTGCTAGATAATCAGCTTGCTGAAAAAACACAAATAATAATGTTGTGTACATGTTTTTCACCATGGCTGCAAGGTGATAGCGATAACATGAGCTCAGACTGAGGAAAGGAATTGAACCAACAAATCTCTCCATGAGATTAAAAAAGAAGAAAGCTATTGACATTAAAGACTGTAAGTTGTTCTGCAGAGGGAAAATTACAGTGGAAGATGCTGATATTATATTTTTTTCCTACTTTAGTTTTGAAATAAAAACAAAACCCATGACAAAAATGACACAATCTAGAAAACCATAATATATGTTCAGGATTTTTTCAAAATAGATTTTAAAATAACCTCTTAAAGAGAAGTAACAAAATGTAATTGTAAACAAATAATTGTCTTGGAGATGATGGTTTTCTGCTGAGGCCTTGGAGGTGTCGTAGTCTAGGGTAGTTCACATTTTTAATGGTTATTAAAAAAACAGACATTTAAAGCTGTCAGTGGTAGTGTTTGCAAAGGAGTAAAGGAGGAAAAAGTAAAGCAGTAAGCTGACAGAAACCACTCTCTGATGAATTTTATGTGTGTAACCAAAGAACTACTGGCTTCCTTAAACAAAAAAAACCACCAAAACTGAAAACCAAACCAAACCAAAAAAACCAACAAAACAAAACAAACAAACAAACAAACAAAACCAAACACCAAAACAACAAAAAAAAAAGGGGGGGGGGGAAGAAGAAAAAGAGAAAAGGAAAATTATGAGGTATAAAGTTACACAGTTTGGACTTCTGCCCTTGAAAATCCCGGTCCACATGGTCAGTCCGTGGTTTTTTCCAGCTGCAAATGCCTCTAAGGTGTATATTCTTTTATGTGCTCACAGAGCTATCCAGTGGTTATTTACTGCCCAGGAGCACATGAATCTGACATCTTAATGAATGCTAAATCCTTAGGAGTTGCTTTCCAAAAGTGTTAAGATTCCATATGCTCTGATGGGAAAGTTTAACTTCCTGCCAATTTTTAGCATATCTGGAAATCAGGCCCTTGACTTAAAAATATATTTTTAAAGTATTTAAAAATGCTGTGCAGTCTTATGGCTTTGTTCTACTACTGAAACAGGTACATGAAATGTGTTGTAATTTTCATCACATCCAAATTGATCTGTAAAACTTTTCCTATAAAATAATCACTAAAAAAAAATGAAAAGGCAATCAATGGGCTGCTGGCCTTGCAAACTTCTCCTGCCTTTATCAGAGAATGAAGTCTTTTTAATTAAATCATAGAACAAATTCATCAGTACTAATTAGTTGATTCATACAGACTTGTTGATTTCTAAGTAAAACCACCATTTATTGAGTGGAAATGTGAATACTCCCTTCTACGAGGTCTGTAATATTAGAGATTCATTGTTGACCATACTAAGAAAATTAACATTTTGCCTCTTTTTTTTTTTTTTTTCTGATAGTCCCTCTTCTGCACTCTTTGTGATACCAGATACAGAGTTTATAGCAACGTGAACCATGGGCTGGCAGGGAATTGCAGAAGGCTCCCATGTCAACACTAAACATTCACATTTCCCAGGGCACCACTTCTTGCCTTTAATTTCAAACTACAGCTTACTGCCTACAGTAAAGGTTCCCACCTATAGCCTGTATTTGCATCTGGTTCTTACTTCCCTGTTGAGAAAATAAAGGTGCTTTGATCTCAGATCAAAATAAAGGGAATGGAGAGTCACATTTGGGGCAAATATAGAAAGAACAAATAGATATTTTTGCAGATATGTTGAGAAGTTATTTGCATATCCTGCATAAAAGGCAGAAGAAAGGTCAGACACTCTAACTTGCAAGGTGAGGTTTGCCAGTTTTTTTAGACTGATTTCTTAAGGCCAGACACTGAACCAAATCAGTTAGAAAATCAAAACCGTAAGAATATTTCAGAGAATATTGGCAACTATTCTGTCATGGTGCTTTTTTGCCTTAAATCTCTGACCATCCTTTGATTGGAGTAATTAAAGGAGATAGAAGCAATCATACTGTGCCTGTTGCACACAGTTCCTTGTCAGGAGTAATCCATGAAGAAATGCTGACAAGTCCACACCAGCAGCTGTTGCCATGCAGCTACCAAGCAGCAAATATGTATTTCTGCTACGCTTGGGCAGCAGAAGATGCTTCTGTGGAGCTGATTTTAGTTAGTGTTCACTTAAGATATAAGGCTTTGTGGTCAGCCTTCAATAAGGCAGTGCAACTAAGATTGTGTCAGAATGAAGTTAGTTTATGCACAGACCATGGAGCATGAGGAAAGCCAGCAACTGTGAAGGATTTAATTTCTTTCCATATCCTTTTTTTTTAAACTGCAATTTTATTGCAGTCTATTATTTAAACAGTGAAAACTTCTGACATGTGATTAGCTATGAGGTTGATTAAAGTCTGGTGAATCTTTCACTCATGACTTCTCCGGCACCATCACCCATGTGACCATTGGCCAACAATGACATTGACAAGGCCATGGACCAGAGGTTCAATATATACACTGAAGAGAGGCTATACTACTGGGACTAAGATTTTGGCATCTGGGCCATAGGCACAGAGGTCGTGCAGGATGCTGCTCTGTGAACTCTTCACCAGCCACCACTGATCCTGGTGTATTCCTTCCAGCCTCTGGCACCGCCAAGGCCACATGGGATCCCAGAGATGACACTGTCCTTTATAAAGTTCTGCCTAGATCTCGGGCAGGAGGCCACCCATATGCTACGGCTCCGCAACCCCCTGCTCAGCTGGGGACAGTGTCCCTTGTGGAGAAGACAGAGGAGGCACCACAAAGTGATGGGGGCTGTTTTCAGCCAGGTAGCTGGGAGCAACCCCTGCCAGACTGCTGATCTCTTGCAACTCTTTGGATGATGGCAAACTGTAGATAGTCCTGTTTGTCCTTCTCAGAGAACCTGACAGCCTCTACTGCTCTTCTGCAGAATGGGTACAATGGATTTCTCTTTGGCCCACTGCAGGATAAAGCCCAGGGAGAACTGATATCAACAGGGCAGAGAGAAGCCACGTCCTCCCAAGTGTCCTGGCAAATAGGGCAGGTGTAGTCTATCCAAGTGGCCATACCTGCTTGTTGCAGCAGGCTGGGAAGAGCTGAGGACCAGGAGCTGCTTCCATTAGCAGTCCTGCTTGGCAGGAGTCCTGGTTTGAGCTGAACTTCCCCAGATTCTGCTGGCTGCCAAGTATAAGCAGGAAGGGATGTTGCATTGCAATCCATTTTCCCTTGATGTCACAATCTGCTGCTTCGTGATACCACCCTCCACCACCCACACCTAGTCTACCCACCCTGCAGCAGTGCAGCCCTGAAGGAGCTTCCCAGAAGCAGATGAAATGGCCCCTCAGACCCCTCAACAATCCAGCCAGCAACACTCAGGTAGGACGCTGATGGTGGCTCATGGCTGGGAGAGCGTTCATGGACATCTCCTAGGACAAGTTTCTCAGGCATTCCCCACATCTCTGGATCTGCTCTCATCAGAACACTATCTCTCTCAGAAACATTAAAGCTTCAGCTGAACCACCAAAGGGTCAAGGGCCTTCCGGCCACTTTTTCTACCATGTTGCATGCCTAGGTCACTTGCTGCATAAGGACCCTTTTTCTCCTCTTCCCCAGTGCCCTGCAGACACCATGGACCAAAATAAAAAGCTTCTGACCCTCTCTGTATGATAACATGGTTTTTATATTCCTGTGCCAGGGTGGAAGAAAGTTGTCCTGTGGTTCAGGAGAGGCCAGGAACCTCTTGGCCTTCCTAGAAGGCTTAGAGGGCCCCAGCAGATGAAGCTCCCAGGATCAGCTCTGATCAGAGCTTGGAAAGCACAGGAAGATTCTGACCCAGAGAGAAGGCTATCTCCTCCATATCCTGTGGAGTTTGTCTTGTAGCAGCTGGAATCTGAAGGGCAACCGATGTCTTGGTGCAGTTCTTAGGATGCGCAGTGTTTGATCGGCCAGGGTTGAGATGGAGGGGCTGATGTCATTTGTCATTCCTGCAAGGGCTGGAACACAGAAGAATGGTGCCAAGATCAGCCCCCAGATTTATGAGATCTTCTGGAGCTCTTCTGGCAGGGCCATCCCATTCAGTTCTTCCTATAGTCAGGAGGGAGCAGGCACCAATGGGATCAGCTGGAAGGTGCTGGCCACAAATGCCTCACATGCCCCTGAAACCTCTCTCTGCTCTGCCCTGCTACCTCCTTTACCTGTACAGGGAGCAGAGCTCTTCCCAGCTGGGGCAGGGATTGCAGGTTCCTGCCCAGGCTCTTTACGTCTTCCTGATCAGCCCCAGTTGCTACCCCACTGCCCTCACTCACCATCACAGATGTTCTGGAACTCTTCCTGCTGTCCCCTCATGTGCTGTCCAGCGAGCCCTAGGAACACACACAGCCTCTCACAGCCCCAGTTGCATAGCTCCCTGAAGTGAGTGCTACCAGCCTGGCCAAACACCCTCCTCTGGTTGGGCTGAGCCCACAGCTGGCCCAGATCATGGCACCAGGGGTGAGAGAGGGTGGTGGGAACCATGGCCCTGCCCTTGGAGTTGGGGGGCCAGAGCCACTGAGCTGAATCCTGCTGCCAGTGCAGCAGCCAGGGCTGGGGCTGAGCTGCAGTGGAGCAGGGAGGGACTAGGGCTGTGGCTCACCGAGTAACCTGATAGCTGTCTCTCTCATGGACTCCTGTGAGCTCTCCAAGTATGTCAGGGACTGGCGCCGGTACTCGTCTGTTGTCCTCCTGCCCTCTGACATCTGGAGAGTGCACAAGGGGAAACAGGGAAGGGTTGGCACAGCTCTTCTTTTTGATCAGCTAGCAATGGACTCAGCAGTAGGCAGGAGCACAGCTGCCAGTCCCACACACTGGGTATTAGGGGCAGAGGGTTTTTTCAGGATGGTTTTGGGGCTTTGGAATTGTCCTTACTAGGCACTCACTGACTCTCCATGGCTGCTCCCTCTCCAGTAGTTGCATGAACCTCCTCTTCTTCAGGAACTTGGTTGCTTTTAGTAGGGTTTCCAGAGAGGCCTGAAGAGCAGCAGAGACTGAGAGATGGTACCTCAGCACAAGGCCAGGAGGAGGCTGGAGAGCTGCAGTCCATGAGTCACCAGGGCTAGAGGTAGCTGAGCCACCTCCCATGGGGACACCAGCAGCTCAAGAGTCCCCACCTCTGCCACACACTGGTTCTCATCATGCAGGTGGTAGAAGAGTGGGAGCAGACTTTGGTGCACACACATCTTCAGGTGCCTTTTTCCCTCTTTCTCTACACAGACTATCATGTCTCCAAAGAGGTGAATGGAGAGCAGTCGCACTCGACTGGCGTCCTTGTGGAAAGAAAGAGTGCAAGACCTTAGCACTGGCTGCTCCAGACTCACCTGGGTTTGGGACTCAAAATCCACATAGCACAAAATTTCCTGGTAGCACGCAGCACCCATGGTAGGGGGTGCAGATTCTTACATTGTCAAATAGTGGCAGCAGTGCCTCACCCAACTGCAGAGCGATGGGGGTGGCAATTGGAACCTCTCTGTCCAGGAGCACCTTGCTGAGCACCGGGAGGGTCAACTCAATCAGCTCCCCATCTACATCCTTCAGTAGTTCCATGAGGTTTTTAGTAAGGCTCTGCAACCTTTTGGCCTGTGTGGAATACAGTAATATGCTGATATACAATGGAAGGCTGCTCCACTAAATTCACTCTGGTGATGCAGCTCCATGCTGCTTCCTCTGAGCCCAGACTCCAAAGGCCTGTCCCAGAGGAATCAGGTAGCTGAATGGGGAGGCAGGATTGTTGAGAGCAGCTGCCATAGCTCCCAAAGCCCAGCCAAGTCCAAGGTACTGCATTACCCAACACTCCTCATCCAGCCCTGCGCTGCCAGCACAACTTCAGGCAGCTGGCCCCCTTCTCACCTTCAAGGGATTCTTGCAGAACATGAGGAGGCCTCTGAGCACCAGGTGACGCATTTCTTTGCAGTCACTCTGCAGGTGACTTGTCATGAGCTGCAGGATGGTGTCAACCAGCTCCTCTGTTTTAAGGCAGTTCAGGATCTGAAAGACACAGGTTGCATCAAACAACAATGGGGTGCCTGGCCTGCAGGACCCCAGCATTGCATAGGGCGTGGGTCATGGGCAGCACCCCAGGTAGCGCAGCCTAAAGGCTGTGCAGAGCTCCTGGGCTCCCTGCCCTGTGGAGATCTCTTGCCCACTCTGTTGTGTTCTCCTGCCCTCAGTAGCCTCAGATTCCTCTACCTTGAGGATCCATACCTTAAGCAAGGGCTGGTACTAGGCTGGCAGGAAACACAGGTGGAGATAAGCAGCAAGGGGCCAAGGGCACACAGCAGAACCCCTCCTCTGCCCCAGCTCCACTGACTGCCCTCCCCCCACAGCAGTGGCTATGAGAGGGCAGAGTAGCAGAAGGTAGCTCAGTGAGGCAGCACTCGCTACCAGGTTCACCTCAACAAGGAATGCCATGGCAGGGACCCTCCAGCGTGACTCCTCCCTGGTGAACAGCGTGAGCAGGTAGCGTGCGATCCCTTCACGCATGGGTCTGGAGACACGGTGCATCTCTCTGGCAGGAAAAAGACACCATCAACCCTGAGCAGGGTGGACAAATCTCTACCAAGATGACTCCCAGAGTCCCAGTCTTTCACTACCACCCCTCTCCAAGAGAAAGGCAGTGCCCAACACCAGAAGGCTGCTTTTGGGAAGACACTGGAGAAACACTTATGGAAGTTCCCCAGGCTCTGTCGCTGGCCCCCAGTGCAACCTGCCCTGCCCCAGCAGACTGTCCTCAGTGGGGCTGCCTACACAGACCCCCTGCTCTATGCCATCAGCCCAGGCTCCACAGGAGGGTATGCTGATGTTTTGGGAGGTGGCTGCTCTTATGCACCTGCCTCTCGCAGCCTTTTTATCTGCTGGGTCATCCCCTGGTGACAAGTCCCTCTCACCCACGGCAACAGGGACTATGTGGGGCTCCCTGTCTGCAGGGAAGAAATGATGGGGACTGTCAGGAGAAGGGGGATCTCACCTGGCCAGCAGACCCACTGCATAGCAGTGGGTGTCAGTGCTGAGCAGGGTGTCCCAACCTTTCTTACGTTCAACTGCCAGCACCACATCCTCAAGCTGCAGGCGACACAGCAGCGCTTTCACTGTCAGTACTGCAAACCTGTATGCAGAGCACAGCTCAGGTAATGCAGGGAGCCCTGGCCCCAGCCCCAGGGGCATGGGAGGGACAGAAGGACTGAGGTGGAGCACCTATTGGGGTTGGCAGGATGGTGGTGCCTCTGCCGGCATCTCCTCCAGAAGAAATTGATCTTACTTGGCATCTGCTCTGTGCTGCAGAAGACTTGGACAAGCAGAGCCACAAAGAGGCAGGGGACCACAAACGATGCCTGTGGGGACAAGGGCACCCGAATGATTTCCCACAGTGCCCTGGTTGCCTGAAAAAAACGAAACACCCAGAGACCATGTTCAGTCATTTCTCTGGGTCAGGGGAGGTGCCAGGTCAGCGCCCAGCCTGACTGCCTCTGAACCTGCCTCTAAGCCAGCCCAGTACCTGAGGCAGGGAGATGTAGAGATGGGGGAGAGTGGAGACCCAACAGACAGGGACAGGGAGGAACAAGAAAAGGCCTGATCAGAAACTCACAGCCAGAGCAAAGACTTCCTTGTTCTCCCCCTCAGAGGTGCAGGTGCTGTGCAGTGGCCAGTCCTCCAGCACGCAGGGCAGCTCTGACAGCACCCCCTCTGCAGTCCTGCTCGAAGACACCATCACCTTCCACATGGACACAGCGGCTCTGCAGGTACAGAGCTCTCTGTCAGCAGAGTCTCAGCCACAGTACCATGGCCTGGGCACCCACAAGGGTCCAAACTTGCTGCCAGCCCTGCCCCTGCCCACAGCCCTTTACCAGCAGCAACCAGCAAGACTGTCCCTGTGGGCAGGGTCAGTGCCTTGAGGGGCATGGAGTAAGCATGGCAGGAGGCTCTAGGGCTGACATGGGGAAGGAGGCAGGAGGTTCTGGGGCTGACAGAACTGGGAAACAGAGCAGCCAGAGGGTCCTGGAACTATCCATCAGTCTCTCAGCCCACACAGAATGGCCTCTGCAGGGTGATGGGTTCTAAAGGCTGGTGAGCTCTGAGCCCCCAAGCCAGGTGGGCCTCATACCTGTCACACGAAGGGGCACAGCACAAGAGGGTCACAACCACATCGTTGGGGTGTGCTTGCGCCAGCTTCAGAAGGCTCTTGTCAAGCCTGTGCTCCGCAGACAGATCTGTGTTGGCTTTGAGCCACCGGTACATATATGCCACAATTGTCGGCACCTGGAGGACACATGGGGGAGACTTGGGATGCTGCCAAAGTGACCCATATCCCCAGCAGATAATTGCTTCCACTCCCAATCCACCATGCTGGCCTTGAAGGATTTCGGTTGGGTGCTCATAGGGCCTAACTTGAGGGGACACACAATCTCCAGGAGGCCTGAGCCCCAGCCACAGGCTACTTACGCGCTTCAAATTGGGGATGTCACTCTGTACAAGTGAATTCAGCATGGCAGCACAAGCCTCTGGGTTATAGGAGTCAGAGTTCGCCATGCCCTCAATGGCTGTGATGGCCATTTCTTCACGTTCAGTGGTCTTGACAAATTTCCAAAAGGTCTGCAGAAGGAAGGGCCAGGCAGAGAGGGTTGTCCCATCAAGAGCTTCAATGGTGATGGCTCAGCTAAACAGCAACAGCATGTTCAGCCCAGGCAGGGATGGTAGCAGGTACCTGTATTCTATTGCTGAAACGCCTACGGATGAGCTCCTGCTCTTCTGTCAGGACTGCAACTGGATCTGGCAAAGACCAAGCAGAGCTGAGGGGTTGTGGGAAAGGTTGGAGAACATAGCCAAGCTTCCCCAAAGTTGTGCTCCCCAAGAAGGGCCATCCCCCAGATGTCCAATGAATGGATCATGACTGCCATGTGGATCAGTCTTATCTCCTCTTTTCCTCTTTCCCTGGGGATGTCCATAGGGGATGGAATGGGGCCAGGCTGGCTGCAGCCACTAGACCTGTGTCCCAGCTCTGCTACTCACCTGCCCGCAGTGGCTGGAACTCCTCCATCTTTTGAGGTGGCCATTCTGGGGCGGACCCAGGACCTTCCTCCTCCTTCTCCTTCACACTGGCCAGTCTGGTCACGCTGGACGGTCCCTCTGCCATCCAGCTGTCTGAATTCGAGGGCTCCTGACCCAGGGATGGTAGAGAAGGGGCAACACCAGGGCCTTCCTCCTCTTTCTTTACCGTGCCCTCTCCAAGCACACTCTGAGGTCTTGCTGCCATCCCACTCTCTAGCCTTAAGAGTTCCTGACACAGGGACTGGAGGTAACTAGGGAAAACACAGGGTCAGCAAGGAACAAGGCAGCTGTGTGAGAGATCCTAACACCACCACTCTGTCCCATGTTTTTCCATCATATACCATGTTGTTCCGTCATATCCCAGGCTGTTTCATCATATCCCATGATGTTCTGTCATGTCCCATGATGTTCTATCATATCCTTCAGGAACTGTGGGTGTCACAGCCAACACACGTATTGTGTTGGGTCACAAAGGGCTCTGTGAAATACTACCATGCCCCACGCCATCAACAGTGCCCATGTCACAGTATGTCACAAGGGCCTCTGTAATCACATGTGCCCTGGTGTGGGGTCTGGTTACACCAGGTGCTGCAAAGCATCCTGGGAGTTGTAGTTCTAAGTACTCTGTTACACATGCTCTGTTGAATGCTTGTATGGGATTGGCTTAAGTTACCTGTGTGACGTGGCAGCATTTGAAACTGCTATATAAGCTGGGACTCCTGGAATAAACGCTCTCTTGTTACACACCACGTTGGTGTCGCTATGGTCCCCATGGGACTTATTATTTATTACATTAATAACTGCTACATATGGCGCCCGAACAGGGACCTAAGCCTTATCCTGAATCAGGAAGAAATACGGACCAGACGTCAGGTACCAGCCTATATTTAACGCTGAAGGACGTCCGCCGTGAAAAAGAAAATAACGCCAGGTACCAGAGGAAAGGAAACTCTGATGGGCGAAGGCGGGAGAAACCGCGATTGAGCTCGAAAAAAGGCCTGAATTCGGTAGGAAATTGCCTACGTTTTGAGAGGACGCTCTCGAGAAGAAAAATCTACGTCCCAGGTGAGAGGGCGGGAGAAAAAAGAAAAAGAGAAAGAATGAAAACTTTTAATTCACATGGGCCGCAGAATGTTGCAGGGGCCCTAAGCTTGATATTGAAAAGACTTTGGAGACAGGTTAACAAACATAAAATAGCTGGACTTTTAAAATTGATGAAAATAACTGTTTTAGAACTGCTGTTATTTACAATTCTTAGTGAAATTCCTTGGAAAGAGGGGTGGAGAAGCAGGGAAAAAACAGAAGTAAAAAAGGTGGACACTTTAAAACCCTCGCAAGAGAACTCGTCCACAGAGAGAAACTTTGAATCTTCCCCTCCCCCAAACATTGTAAAGCATGGAACTCCACGTGCTACTGCAGTCTGGAAAGGGGGAGGGGGTCCGAGAGTACGGAAGAAAACCCTTAGAATATACCTTTTTGTACTGAATTTTCGCGGATGCGTAAATTCCAAGAAGAAGGCGCGTGTCGTGGGTTATGTGACTGGTAAAAGGGAACAAACTTTGAATCCCCAAGCCACTAAAAACCTGCAGACACGTGGAGACCACGCCGGAGCATGGGCGGCACCATCTTGCCCATGCCGGGAGCAGGAGGTAATGCCTTCTCTTCCTGTCTCGTGGCCATGTTATGGACTGCCTCTGCTGGAGGCATGCATGGAACATGGTCCGTGCTGGGAGCCGGTAGCTAAGCAACAGCTGCTGTGCCTACCAGCAACAGCGGAGCGATGTTTAAAAAAGATACGTGATAGCCGCTCGACGTTGCAAGCGGCGAGGCCGGCGGCGAGCACAGAGCGCGGGGCTGTCGGGACGCTCGGCAGCCGCAGCAAGTCAGGCCGGGGACGGAGCTGCACACGGCTCCGCAGGACTGCTGGTGGCGGGCGGCGACTCCAGCCCCCCCGGGGCGGGCGGCTCCGGGGCTCGGCGGCGACGGCGACTTCATCTCGCTGTGCCGGCTGGTGTCGACCAGGCTGCGGCGGCGATTCCTGCGCAAACCCAGACGGCAGCGGCGGTGGCACCACCAGGAGCGACGGGCCCGGCGCACAGCGTGGAGGGAGCCGGGCGGCCGGAGCGGCACCGCCGCGGGACGCCTCTGTCCGGAGCCCGCAAGCGGGCCAAGGTCCGGCCGAGGCGCGGCCGAACGGGAGGCGGTGACCCGAGCGCGGAAGCCCCGCCGCAGCTGGTGGCGACTCCCGCCGCGCCCCCGACCCGCGTAGAGCTCCCGACGGAGCTCCGCGTGGAACCCCGGGCCGGGGAGGCGGCCGCCGTGCCTGAGGAGAAGCCGCGGGGCGGCCCCGCAGCCATCCCGGGCGGCCGAGCAAGCTTGCACCGGGACTGTGACACAAGTTTGTAAATACAGCTGGAGCGGCGCGGGGCGCCGAAGGCGGCGCGGCGGCTTCGGCGAGCACATGTCGGCGGCGCAGAGCTGCGAGGCCTTCGCCGCCCGCCTGCACCTGGAACGAGGGCAGCCCGTGGCACCGGCGGCCGGGCCGTGCCTGGAACTGACGACTGCGTTCCACTACAGGAGCCAGCCCGCCCGTGCCGCCGCTCCCCTGAAGCGGACCCCGCGGCCGCAGCAGCGCGGCCCGGGACAGCCGCACATGCGGCACAACGCGGCGCCGAGCCGAGGCCCGGCGGCGATGACCAGCGACATGGCCCCGTGAACGGGACGGGCCACGGCCGCAGCAACTCCGGGAGCCTCAACAGTGACAACACCGCCTCCCCACTCCTGTGAGAGGGGCGGCGGCCCGGGCAAGGACCCGGGCCGGGACCAAAACTATACAGACACTATATTACTGACTGTTTTTACATGTTTTACATATAAGTCTTTAGAAATTATTACAAATGTTTTTGTCTAAAATAATTTAGTTAACTGTCTTTAGTTTTCTATTTAATAAGAGAAAAATTCAACATTTCCTTATTAATACATTTTTAAGTTTCTAATTTTCTTGTAACTTTGTTTAAATTACTAATAATCACATTAACTGAGTATTGTTTCAAATTGTTAAGTTCTTAAATGTATCTAAATAGGTTTAAGTTTGTAACTATCTCGTTTAAGTAGTAATTAGCATCTTTAAGAATTTCTATTGTTATTAACATATTGTAATAGTAACCTACCTATTCATGTCTCTAAGTACACACTCAGAAATATACACACTACTTACCACTCTTATACCTTTAAATTCATTAACTTTTCATATTCACAACAAAAGAAGGGGAGTAGACAGAATATGCATGTAATTAAGTAAGTAAATTCTGAGTCAAACAATTTTCATTCTGACCAAACACTACATAAAAGTTTAAGTTGTATAGCTAGAATATGAAAACAAAATAAAGATTACATGTATGCATGAATGAAAAATGATTGGGGTGGCCACCCAAATGAGTGAGAGATTGTGTGAATGTATGAATGTATGTAAACCATACTGCACCTTATATATGAAACAAACACAACATACACTACCTCTACCAAATCTCATTGAAAAAGAACTCAGAACATAATGTTCCTCCTTTAAACTTTTCCTTGTGTTTTAATAAAGTAAGTTTTCCCCAGTTATATATAAACCCTCAGATTGATAAAAGTTTTTGTTCTACCCAATTGCAAGAAACCCTTAGGTAAATAAGGTTTTTAATTAATAAAGTTTTGTTATTATATAGAACTCTTAAGTATATAAGGTTTAAGCAAAAAATAAGTTTACTATGTCAAGTGAAAAACGTTTTGTTAAAAATTACACTATTTTTTGAATTTACACTGTTTGTATCTTGTTATTAATAAAAATGGGGGAATTGTGGGGTCTGGTTACACCAGGTGCTGCAAAGCATCCTGGGAGTTGTAGTTCTAAGTACTCTGTCACACATACTCTGTTGAATGCTTGTATGGGATTGGCTTAAGTTACCTGTGTGACGTGGCAGCATTTGAAACTGCTATATAAGCTGGGACTCCTTGAATAAACTCTCTCTTGTTACACACCACGTTGGTGTTGCTATGGTCCCCATGGGACGTATTATTTATTATATTAATAACTGCTACACCCTGGTGCCTCCACCTGGCCCATCCCCTCAGTGCTGTTGGCCAGTGCATCCTCAGGGACGCCCATCAGCTCATCCATCAGGGCTTCTTGCCATCTCATCCTCTCAGGGCCTCCCAGCAGTCCAGTTTTGATGGTCACTCATCAGCAGCATCCCATTACAGTGCCACCTAGCCTTGGGCAAGTGGGATCTCTGAGGCTGCCTCAGCACAGATGTTCTCTCACTATGAAATATTTCTTATTATTCCACCTGTAACTAATTGTTCTCTCAGGCTGGGAGGGGGCCACCCCCCAGAGATGGTGGTTTTGAAGGAACACATGCTGAGCTCCTTAATGGCTCACTGTATTCAGCCTCCACTGCTCCTACTTGCTCTTCTCTGACTTGGTTCAGATCCTCGACAGTCCCTCTGACAGCATGAGGGCCTAACCCTGAACAACAGCCAAAATGTTTTTATTTTTATTCACTTTCCTTCAAGCTACCTGTTTGTTGTTGTTCACTTTGGAAACCGATGGGAGACGAGTTCCTTAAAATGTAAAATGGTTACTTTGACCATTCATTTTCCCAATGCTGTGAAACTTTCACTTCAGCTCAGTGCCAGACTGTTAGCTGAAGGATCTGTGCAGATGAAAAAGGACAAACCCAAAAACCTGAACAATTTTTCACCCTTTATCAAGACAGTGAAATAAATATGTTATTTTCTGTGACATACAGGCAAAATTTTCCACATTATTAACCAGGGGCTGACTATACTCCTGATTTTTTTTTTTTCTTTTGGTGATAAAAATTTTTGTTTTGTTTTAGGTCTAATAGTTAGACTTGGGTTGAGAACATGTATAGGAAAGTACTTTCTGGGAAACATCAAAAATTATAACATTGTAACTGTTTAAAACAAAAGCATGCCCATCTGTCTTAGCAAGTTCAAAGGACAAAAGGCCCGACACTTTTGATGGCAATGAAAGGAACAACAAAAAAAAAGATAAAAAGATTGAAGTAGAAACAAACAAAATAAGCTTTAGAAAATCAAGAACATGTGTCACATGAAACAACCATTTCAAACCCTATAAACGTCAAATAAATAGGAAATTGATCACTAAGCCAATCTTCTGCTGTTATAACTATTGCAAAACACAGCAATAATTTTCAGATAAGTACAGTGGAACTAATATATTTAGCAATGGAGATACTTTGCGTGTTCCCTGAAGAGGCATCAAATGAGTAATAGTATTTTCTGAAGCATTTAGTGGTGATTTTAGTTCTAAAGGAAAGTGTTGTTTCCTTGTAAACAGATTCATAAGACTGTGCATACAATATGTTTTTATATTTAAGTTATGGATGAGATAGTATTAGAACCATGCTGTCAGTGCAAACCCAACAGTTTCCAGGCAGTGTGAAAGAAGACATATTTGGAATCAAATGCTCCACAAGATGGGTTTGGACACCTTTGTTTCCTGTGGTTCTGTGATGAGACCTACCCAGGTGAACACATGCTTGCCTGTGCTGGGCTTCCAGTGAAATATTGATGTTAATAAATTAAATTTGATGCTAATAAATTAAACAGATTAAAGAATTAAACTATCCAGAATGCCAGTGATTTCAAACTGAACTTTGAAAACTGGAGTGTTGATTTCAGACTAGAGGAAGATAACAGCTCCACTGTTCATCCTTTTTTTTTCCCAGCTCCTTCAATTGGTGTTGTAAAATTTTCACCTTTTTCCTCATTTTTTCATGGTCAGGCAAACACTTGCTATAAAAACATTAGGCCGCCTAAGTGAGCTCTTTCGCTTTTCCACCATTTATCTGAGGGTGGTTATTGCTCTCTACTGGGATCATACCTAGAATCAGACTGTCCATGTAGAAGAAAGTTGGGCACAAGTGAGAGCCCAGCAACCACAGACACTGCTTTGTCATGACAAGATGGCCTACACTCCTCATTTCTCAAAGCATTCTCACCTCTTTCTCCTTGTAATGGAATATGCAATTGTTTGTCTTGCACAAATATAATTAAGATCTAAATCTCAGAATAAAACATCAACCTTGCATTCAGCTTGCCTAAAGTAGATATACTTGATTGCAATTTCCGTCATTTGCTGTGTTGTGTGCTAATTTTTTTTTTTAACCTTCTATTTTCAAAACAATTTTTTCCAATAGATTTGCCTAGTTCTTAAACAATTTCCTTGTTCTGACCCTAACAATGGTAATTTTATGTGTTGGCCTTAACAGAAGCACATACAGTAGTCCTCAGCTAATGCCAGGGAATGCTGAGTGTGTTTCAGACCTCTGAATTTGTGAAGTACTTGTTCCCATAAAAAGCAGAAGTTCAGAGAAAATGTCTTGTTCTCTTTTTCACCAATTTCTCTCCACACACTGAAATACCCTGAGAATTATACCCCTCTTTCCTTCAATTTAAACTAAAAGTCTAAGTGTTAACAAGTAGGGAAAATGATGGGAGTAGGGCCCAGGCACAGAGGATGAGGGTGTCTGGGCTGAAACTGAGCCTGGGAACTGGGGAGGAGTGTTGAAATTTTTACCTTTGCTTCTCAGTGCCTGAACCCATAATTCAATGTTTGTGCTAACTGACAAATGAATTAACTCCCCCTGACTTCCAATGCAGGAGTGAAATAAAGAAATACCTCTCATAAAGGGTGATTGTATTCATCAGCAAACAAGGAGCTGTTATTTGACTGATCCAGCACCAAGTGTGAAAAGATATCTAGAAGTGATGTTTCCAGGAAAGAAAAATGCTAATTCTTTTTTGCCAGAGTCAAGGTCAAATTCTTCCCACGCTAAAATGTCCTCCTTTCTTTTTTATTTAGGTGAGAATTGAATCTTGCTACTTTCAATATTCTTTTACATTCAAAAAGAGATTTAAACTGTCTTTTTTCAAAGGAGAGAGAGATTATGGAAGCAAGATCGATCCTCCACCTATGTTTAGTTTGGTTTGGTGTGTGTTTGTTGGATTGATTGGTTTGGTTTGCTTTCTTATGGCCTTGAGAATGCAGAAAGGTAAAACCCCTGGCAGTTGGATGCCTGGCAAACAGTTGGATGCATAAGACAGCATCTTTTTTCCCTAGATTTGACAGAGTAAACCCTGCTTTGTCTTTTCCTTTCTTCACCTGAGCCTTTTGCAAGTATTTGCAGTTTATCTATCATGAACACTGACAACAGATACCTTAATTTTTTTGTTTTCTTTTACTTTGGCTTAGGTCTAGAATGTTTTCAGGTTCCCCAGATAAGACATTCTTAACTGAAGGACGTAGAAAACATATGAAATGAGATTTTGTGTCTATGAAATGTCCAGGTCCACAGTACTCTCCTTGACATGAGCTGCAAGATCCAGACAGCCAAGCTTGTATTCCTGGATAAGAAAAGGAAGGTTTGTCTTCCAGTGATAAGCAAGAAGTTTTTCCAGCAAGCTGAGGGGTGCAGAAGGGAACACTTGAACCCCAGAAGCCCTGCAGAATTTGTCTATATCTCTCACATGCTTGTGGGCCTCATAAACAGACAGGCTCACAGACACTCATATGGATGAGGAATAGTCCACACCATTTAGAACAGTATTCCAAAATAATTTCTGAGCTACCTGAGGCAGTTGATTGAACTACCACTGAAGCAGCCAGAATGAGA